GGAGAAAGGTTTGCTGTGGAGCCAACGAGAAAAGCTAGAGATGACTAGCAATCTTGACAAAAGCTGGGTGCAACCGAGTTCCAGGAGAAAAGTTTGCTCTTACGGACAAACAGAAAATGCTAGACTACTAGCGAACGGACGAAGAAGCTGGGTTTAACCAACTTTAAGGGTAACGGTTTGTTGGGACGAACAAACAAATGCTAGCTACACTAGCGAAGCGACGAAAAAGCTGGGTTTCACCATCTTTAGGGAGAGCGGTTGGTTCTGACGAACAAACAAAAAATGCTAGCTACACTAGCGAAGCGACGAAGAAGCTAGTTTAACCAACTTTAGGGAGAACGGTTTGCTCTGTCCAGCCAACGAGAAAAGCTGAAGATTACTAGCAAGCGAGACAAAAGCTGGGTGGAACCGACTTTCGGGAGAAAAGTTTGCTCTTACAGACAAACGAAAAATGCTAGAGACTACTGGCGAAGCGACGAAGAAGCTGGGTTTAACCAAGCTAAGAGAACGGTTTGTTCTGACGAACAAACAAAAAAAATTGGTTACACTAGCGAAGCGACAAAAAAGCTGGGTTTAACCATCTTTAGGGAAAACGGTTTGTTCTAATGAACAAACTAAAATGCTAGATACAGTAGCGAAGCGACAGGGGAGCTGGGTTTAACCAACTTCAAGGAGAAAGGTTTGCGCTGTCGAGCAAACGAGAAAAGTTAGAGATGACTAGCAAGCGAGACAAAAGCTGGGTGGAACCGACGTCCAAGAGAAAAGTTTGCTCTAACGGACAAACATAAAATGCTAGAGACTACTAGCGAACGGACGAAGAAAAGGCCTCACTCACAATTTTGAGAAGAATATCAAATCAAACTCATACTTGCAACCAATACAACAATGAAACGCAGCCGTAACTAACTGTTTTTTTGTCTGCATATTGTTTGAAGGCTAATACAGGTTAAGGAAAGATCTTGCCTGGTCCTGATCCCTTTTGAAAACCTGGATGAAACTGACGTGGAGTACTGGTAGAGGCGTCCCTTGTCAAGCTGGAAGCATTGTGCACATCAGAAGATTTTGGTCGGCATGATAATGATTGCCGATCCATTAGTCTTTTGAGCTTTCAATTCCACGGTTTCTCATAATTAGTTCCCAACTTTATCTTACAGTCAAATGTTGAAGAGTGTTCACATTTAAATTTGATCTATCAAGAAGTCACAAATCGATATTAATAATATGATTGTTAATGATCATTACCAACAGGCTGGAAAATTAAAACTTAATAAATTCTATAAAAAAAACATTACTCTGGTGCTTTTTGTTTTCTGAGCAATGTTTACTAAGTGTTATGTTTATATCGAGCTTTAATCAAAAAAATACGGACGTTGAAATCAATTTCAGACAAGGAGAATAAACTTTTATTTGAAAAACTTTTACTGCTGTGCTGAAGTTCAAAAACAAATTTCATTTTGATACGTTAAAACATTATTTTGATGATTTCCGTTTTCTTGAGCTGTAAATTTTCAGTATAACGTTTTGTTTGAATCAAATGAATAATGATGTGGAATTTTGGCAGACAACAAACTTACTGGTCGTGGATCAATTTTAATTTTTTGCTCGGCAGGACACTAAATTAATGGATTTTGAGTTAAAAATTTTTTAGAAGATTTAGTTTTCTGAGCTAACTTATTGTGGTACAATGATTTTATCGAGCTTTTAATCAAAAAACTGACCACAAATTCCATTGCAGAAAACAAAAAAAATAATAATTTTTTGGTGCTTCATTGCTCTGCTTAAGAGTTAGAAAAAATTGATGTTGAATTTTTTTGGAAACTTTTTGTTTTCTAATCTCAAGTAAACCAGGAATAGTTTTCTTTTGAAGCTCCGATCAGCAAAAACCAAGGTTTAAGTATTTTGTAGACAGGACCTTAACGGAATTGAGCATTTCTGATTTCACACTGAAATTAACAATGGAGTTGAATGATTATCGTTTAATCTGGTCAAAATTTATGTATCAGAGCCTTTTTGCTACCTGTAATATTTAATGCCTTTTTCGTAGCCCTTTTTACAGCCTACTATCGAATCAGCCGTCGTTTTATTGGATAGTATGATACCCAGATTTCTCACAGCATGGCCAAAATCGAACGCTAAAATTGGCCAAATTACGATCACAAGGCATAGATTCTGACAAACACCAGAGAGATGAAAATAAAGCATTAGTAAATTTCAACAATGCTGAGAAATCAAATTTTCAAAACCTTTTCCTTCTGCAAATGTGGTTTTGAATCATACTCGTTTAATCTGGTCAAAAGTTTTGTATCAGAGCCTTTTTCTTAGCTGGATGAGGTTAGGCTGGTCTAATTACAGCGATGAGATTAGGCTGGTCGATGTTCTGGTGGTGATGTACCGTGTCCACTGAAGCTGCTGATGGTGTTACAATTTGCTTAAGGCAAATTGAACGTATATTGCAGTTCAAATCGTCTTTGAACCCAAGCGTCCGAAATGTTTCCAGCATGTTACTGATGAAAATGAAAAAATCCCTGCGATGATTTGATGGTTGCTTGAAGCTTTGTAGTCTGTTTACGAAGTCATTGATGATGATATCGGGTCGTCCATATCGTCGTCGTAGTTCGTGGAGGGCAGCGTTGTACATAGTGCTATTGCAGGAGTGACCAGAAATAGTTTGATTTGCTTTTCCAGTCGTTATCAGTCTGCAAATGAGTCATCTTTTCGGAGTCCGAGACGAGTTGATTGTGGATTGTTGCTTCGAAGAGTCCGAACCACATGCTCCACTTCATAGGGTTTCCGTCGAAAGGCTCGATTTTTACTTTTGCGGGTCTAGTCATGAGACTGTAGTTTGTTCGCGACTGTCCGGTACTTGATGTCAGAGATTCTGCTGCTGGAATGAACTACTATTCTGTAACTATGTTGATGCTGAGGTTTGCGTTGGTGATGTGTTCTGTTTGTTGAAGTGGTGGTCTGCTTATTTCGAAACCTGTCTGGGGGACTTGCTGCTGAGTATCTCGGCTATCTGAAGAGTTTTGGTCCTCTACTGTTTGCTGAGCTGATGATCCGGGCTGATGGCTGCTGTTGGATAATGTTGACGTCTGGCTAGAGTCCCGATCTAGTATTGTCTGTTATTTCACTGAATCAGCTGTGTGGGGTGCTTGAACTGTGGTGACACTAGTGTTCTGCTGTTGTGGAGTTGTCTCTGCTGTATTTTCTCGTAGCATCTTTTTAAAATCATCCATGATGTCGTCGTGTTCGTCTTGTATATCAGTGAAGCGGTTGATAAGCTCCTCCGCAGTGGCGTGCTCAGTCGGGTAGTCTACAAGGTACGTAGTTGCGTCTTCCAAATTGCTGAGAATTTTCTTCATCTCGGTTTCTGAGTCAGCTATGTTGTAGTTCGTATTGATGTCATTGATGGTTTTTCGTACTCGTCTGAAGAGGCGCTCTAGTTGGGCGATGAGAAGATTTCTCTTGGGGAGAGTGAGTGGTTTTGTTGAGCATGGCTAGTTTGTCGTAGCTGATCGTTGTTGTCGTTGCAGTTGTTGTAGATGTCGTATCCAGTCGTAGTTTTGACCTACTTTGTTAGTTCCTGTCCTAGGTAGCTAGACGTAAACCAAAAAAGGAACGAAGCAAAAGAACAATGGTGCGGTAAATATATTTAAAATAAGTATAACGAAATAAAATAAGCAATTGAAAGTTACAAATGCTTGATAGTAGTTCGTTTCGATACTTAAACAGACAGAAAGTAATATAAACCAAACGTAAAGTTAACGTCCTTATACCAAAGTTAAGCTAGGCGGGTCCAAATTGTTAAACCGATTTTTTTAAAATCTTAAGCAACTGCAAAACGAGTGTTCCTTGGTTGGCACTAAAGACAAACTGTGCTTCCAGCCTGGTCAAGGGGTAGAGCAAGGGTGTGTTTTCTGGCAATTTAGCTGAGTGCCATATAGAAAACGAAAATGTAATCGTTTTTAGTTTACACGGTGTACTTGAGCTTTTTTCTTGCTGCAAGCGTTGATTTGATTATAAATTAGTTGGTTGCACGTGTTTGATAATTCAGTTTTGCATTTTTCCAATTTTGTATGTGCTGAGTTCTGGTTTTCAATTTCTTTCACGGAGTTTTCTATGTAATTGTGAAAAGTTGAATGTGAAAAGTTGAAGTCATCTAAGATGGTTGTCAATTTTCAAATTGGCATATAACATAGCCTATTATTTGGAAGTCAATGTCAAATTAGCAGTCGTTTTATTAGATACTCTGATACCGAAAAAAAAAAAAGTTTTCTCACGGCATGACCGCCATCGAACGCCAAAATTGGCCAAATTACTATCGCAAGGCATAAATTCTGTCAAACACCAGAGAGATGAAAATGAAGCAATCGGCTAAACTCAGCAACGCTGAAAATCATGTCAGAACCATCCTTTCAGTCACAAAGACTTATCAGTGCTTATCTATTAAGTAAAAAAGGGAGGTCAATTAAAATGGGCTCTTCCATCATGCGACGGTACGTCCACAGGTTGGATAGAGCCGTACCAACCCTAATAAATACATCGGCAAATTTTTATGAATGAATCAAGTCAATTTTAATGCATCCAGAAAATTGTCAATTAAAATCTACCCTCCTCGATTATAGCACAGATAGAATTGTCTATGTTGGATGTATTATTAAGATTTTTGCACCCCTGTCATGGCGTGAGAAAACATTTTTTTTCGATATCAGAGTATCTAAAAAAACGACTGCTAATTTGACATTGACTTCCAAAAAAGGCAGAGGATTGCACTCCTCAGAAGTGAAAAACCTATTTTAGAAAACAAACTTTCAACATCATTTGCTTCTGCAAATGTTGTTATGAAAACTTGGCTGGCTGAAACGATCATCAGCCCATCGATGCCCTTCTGTTACAGCAAGGTATATGTCAAAAATGGCCAGCTATAAAAACACGTTCAACAATTTGAAAATATTAAATTTGAAATAGCAAAATTAAGCATCAAATTTTCGAAGGTAAACCTGGTATTCTAAATAGTCCTGACTGACACAGGACGGATAATTCTGCGGCAGAAACAAATCAGACAGAACTTGTTTCGCTTTCAAACAGTTAAGGTCAGTAGAGGTTCTATTTCTTGTTTCTCGTACGCGGAAGCACCTATTGGAGTCCTTTTGTGGTTCACATTGCTCGAGCGATGTCCGGATGCATCCATTACTTGACCTCGATTCGTAACCAACCATCCTCTGAAAAAAATCAACGGGAAGTTTGAGCAAACAAAACTGATAGAATTTTAAAATGTATATTCAAACGTTTTTGCACATTTTGAGCATCATCTGGATTACTACATTTTACAATATTTTCAAAAAGTCGAACGTCTGGAAAGATTGACAAAAATGTTTAAACCTTGTGCTAATATTTTTTGACCATTTGTAGAACCACGCGTGTGGCGGTGTATCGACTAGCATAAAAATTTTGAAATTGAAAAATGTATCGACTAGCATACAAATCCAAACAGAAAATTCAAACAAGTCCTTCTAAGTCGCTGAACTAATTACTTTTAGTCATAATATTTAAAACTTTTAACAATTATTTTTAGACATGTTTCTCAATTCTAATGATCTGAAAAATTCAAACAAGTCCTCGCAAGTGAAACAAATACTTTTAGACATGTTTTCAAAGACATGTTTCAAATACTTTTAGATATGTTTCAAATACTTTTGGACGTGTAACACAAGCCTAATTGTTGTGATAAAATTATTAAATCGATTTATAAATTTTACATCTAAATATTTCGAGAATACATTAAAATTGTAAATTCAAACAAACGTTTTCGCACATTTTCGCCATACCGACGGAAGTCAGGCACGTATGGAGTCGCTTGAGGTACTTTCCATGGTTTCGGGCGACACTGACGTCTTGGTTGTACATGACAACGAAAGATCACATGAGAAAACATCAAAAAGAATATCGACAGTTCCAGGCCGAGATTGGGCCGGAAGCTTTCAAGAGACCCCTGCTAACCCATCGTAATGCGATCACGACAGGATGGAAAAGAGTGGGTAAGATGTCTAGAGACAATACCAAAGCGAGGGAGTCGATACTAGAGGAAGACCTGGCGAAGAACGTGAGCTTGAGCCTGCACAACTCCTTTTGCTTGAACCGAGAAGCTAGGGTGAAGGCACTACCCAACCAAGCAAAGAGGTTGCAGGAGCAGAGAGAATGGATGCGATCCTATGAACAGCTGAAGGCTTGGGAGGAGATTGTGATTAGTTCCGTCTCCGATGATGAAGAGGAACTGTTGAGACAGTTTGCCGCATCTAGCACTTCAGGATGCAGTACCTCCAAGGCGAAGAGTACGAGATGAATGGGCAAATCGGAAGGATCTTGAGTCTTGAGAGGGAAGGGGGGCTTGAGCGTGGATCCGAGTGAAACTTGGATTCACGAAAAAGAAATTTTAACAAAGCAAATATTGTTACTAATATACTATATTTATTATATAAATCGAAATGCTGCATGACAATTTCCTGATTGAATAGGACAAAAGAGAATTTAAAATGATTGGCTTGAAAAGCGAAAATTCAAGGGTGCAGGTGTGTGCAGATTTTGGTTGCTGTTTAGCAATAGTGTGAAAATTTTAAATGGCTGTGAATTTTGGGGTGTAGATAAGCTTAAATCTGCTGCAAACTTCTGTAAATGACCACTGGCACTGTATCTTGAGCAACACTCGGTTTTTCTGGGACTCACTGGCAGAAGACAGCGCGCGATGAGGACATCGATCTCGAGTCCGGGGAGTATGTGCCAGTCGGTCATATTTGGAAGTTTGACCTTGAGAGGAGCAAAGAAACACTTGATTTTGGAGTGAAATTTAATTTTTCAAAATTTCGAATGGAACCTGTCATGCACGATTTTCTCGCGATAACTGAAAATCAGAAAAAAGAAATCAGAACAATTTCAGAACGATTGAGTCACACACGCGGGAAAGTTGTAAGAAAAAGCAGTAGGAAATTGCTATTCGCAATTTCCATCACTATCATAATCGAGAGTAGAGCTGTCCCATCTGTGACAGAGACGAGAGCATTCCCACGAATTGGATTATAGCGACTGGAGTGTTATTCGGAACTGGACTAGAGTGAACCTTCGGTGGAAAGGTGGACAACTTGAGTGTCCTAATGGTTCACAAGAAAACTATTGTCTAGAGTATAAACTCGTTCTCATTGTTAAAACTATAAAACATTAGACTCATTTAGTTACGTTATTTAATTCTTGAGTTAACTACCGACTGGATTATTTCCCACTTCTTGAGCGTGCTACTATGTGAGTACAAATTTAAATTCCTAGAGTGTGTTTTATAATTGTTATGTTGAGGTAAGGCGAGTTTTAGGTTGATCCATCTGAAATGGATCAAAGTTCCACTGTCTAATAAAAAAGCAACTTAACGGATTGTTCCAACCCGGTTTTTAACGGCGTTCATGTATTTTGGGTATCTAGAGACCTAAGTATGGGGACGTTTCTAATTCTAGAGTGGGGGGATATTTTAGTAGTAGCCTTTAAGCTGTAACGGGTCGTAGTCTCATGTCACAAGCGAACCGAACTGGCTCCGACCGTTCTTGAGGTAGAAAAACACAAGAGATGGTGTCCCTGACCCTTGAGCCAGTGGTTATAGGGCCTATTTTTCTTAAGCCTCATGTGTGACTGCAGTAGACGAATGTTACATAGTGTTTTTATGGCGCTCCTGGGTGTTTACGACATCAAGACTACGGAGTCGAACCCACTTGAGACAGCTTCGGGCTGAATGCCCATTCTAGAGTACCGGCGGTACGGTTCGACAGGAACGTGCAAACCTTCCGGTTGTACCGTGATAGCTTTTTAAGAAAACTCGAGAAAATTTCCTGGTACGCTCTCCGAACGAGGCTTAGCTAACCGAGTAAAGGGGGGCAACTAGGGGGACAAAAACACGAGCAAAAAGACAAAAAGCAAAACAAAAAAAAAAACCAAAAAAGGAATAGAAAAAGGAACAAAAACCATAAAACGAAAAAAGACAGTGACTTTGACACCAGATCAGTTGGATCAAACCTTTATATAAATTAAATAGTATACCCATACTGTTTTATAAGTTCGATCGTTTCGATCAACCTAGCAATTTAACCCAGTAACCGTAATAAAGTGCCCGAGTGTGGGGCGTTGTCAAGGGTTTTCAGATAGTTTGGAACTTAGCTGGACCAATAGGAGACTTCACTGGAAGAGGTGACCAGCCGAGTGGGAAATTGGTTCAGGGACACTTGAGCTGAACCAATAGGAGACTTGACTGGAAGAGGTGACCAGCCGAGTGGGAAAGTGGTTCAGGGACACTTGAGCTGAACCAATAGGAGACTGGACTGGAACAGGTGACCAGTCGAGTGGGAAAGCAGCCAAGAAGGATTTGGCAATTCTCGAGTTCTCAAGTTGGGCAGAACGGGTATCGTTAAAATCCACATTACATTATAGGAGATAAGCGTAAAATAGGATAAGCGACATCCCCCGGTTTTGAGGAACGTTTTTACTTGAGCAGGCCTGGAGACAGGTCTACGGTTTTCTCTTGAGAGGTTTAGCACCCGGCGCTTAAGGTAATTTTAGGCTTAAGAAGGGGGGCTAAAAAGGGGGGAGGTTAGAAGGGGGGCTGGTTAAGTTAGAGGTTGGCGGTTGTAAATTGTAAAAAGGGGGAAATTAGAGTAACTAATTAGTCGACATCGTTGACTTAGTTACATTAGAAATTAACACGCGTTGGTAATATTAGGTGGAGATCGAAATTTGAACTCGAGTTAAGGAAGGTACCCTGGTCGGATTGGTAGGGGGGAAGGGACATAGACAGTTTTTGTAATACCCCATAAGATCGCTAGCAGGGGGGAAGGAAAACGCGTGGCAATTAGGTACCAGACATATTTTTTAGACGAAAGGTAGACATTGGTCACCTTTGAATTTCAGGTGGACTCATTTTTCTGTTTTTATTATTTTTCTTACTTAGATTTTTGTTGCATTTTAGTGAGGATTTGTGTTTGGTTTTATACGAACAGGTGATCACAAGATACCTGCGCACCTACATTGAAATAGAAACAACCAAAAAGAAGAGGGGGGTCAGCATTTGGCTTTTAAGAGAGGGTTTTTGGGAAAATTTTACTAGAGCTTGAGTGGTGGTACAAGGTACGGTGATTCAAGAAGACCCTACAACGAGGAAGACACTCCGTGACGAGTCTTGGGACAGTACCGAAGAAGTCTTGGGACAGATCAGTCTTGGGACAGTGGTCTTGGGACAGGGTCTTGGGACAGTGGTCTTGGGACAGGGTCTTGGGACAGTGGTCTTGGGACAGGGTCTTGGGACAGTGGTCTTGGGACAAGGGTCTTGGGACAGGGTCTTGGGACAGGGTCTTGGGACAGTGGTCTTGGGACAGGGTCTTGGGACAGGGGTCTTGGGACAGTGGTCTTGGGACAGGGTCTTGGGACAGTGGTCTTGGGACAGGGTCTTGGGACAGTGGTCTTGGGACAGTGGTCTTGGGACAAGGGTCTTGGGACACTAGTCTTGGGACACTAGCCTTGGGACACTGGTCTTGGGACACTGGTCTTGGGACAGTAGTCTTGGGACACTAGCCTTGGGACACTAGTCTTGGGACAGTAGTCTTGGGACACTAGCCTTGGGACACTAGTCTTGGGACAGTAGTCTTGGAACAGTGACCTTGGTACAAGGGTCTTAGGACACTAGCGGAGAGTACTGTGATAGTGACGATTAGTCTTGGGACGGTATAAAAATTGAAGTAAAATTACAACAAGTGTGTCTTAAGACAAAATAAGACAAATCGAAATAGGTACGGTTGAGACCACATTAAGGGAAATTTTTCAAAGGTTTTAGAAAGAGAGCTACAACAAGGTTTTTAACACGTTGTACAAAATTTGTTACCACAAAAAATTTTTTTGTTTTATTATTTTTTTATTCTTAGAATAGAATCGTGTATATAATAAAATTGTAAATAAAAGCAGTTGTAAATAGAAATAATGAGGCGGAGTAGGGTACCGGTGCTCGAAAAAAGGTCAAGTGGATCAAACACGAAATATAATTCATCGCTGCGCGGAACGACATCAACAGGCCCAAAGATAACAAAGAAGAACTTTTCAGTTAACATGGTCAGTACGAGGAGTGGCACCGAGAGCAAGACACGAGAAGATGTGGGGGAAAAACAGGTGGAGCCCACAATCGAAATCGACCTAGAGACACCA